TGCAATTTTTATATTAATAATAATCAGATGTTAAAATATAGTTTTTTTAAAATATACAATAATAGAGAATAGTGTGTGCCTCGTATAGAATAACAATCATTAGTATTTATATTGACAAATATATTGCACTTGACGCGGTATTGCTGCAAATTCAAAACTATAAACATCGTTTTCATGTCTTTGGTGTTTTAGAACTATTAACTTACGTTACAGCAGTAATATTCTAAAACGTCAATAAATACACTAAAATGTATTTCAATTTATGCTACCTCAAGCCTACTTATTACTTAAAACTATAAACAAGATATCACCTCTAAGCATTCATCTAAAACAAGCGGTTTAAAATAATGCTCAGAGATAACTCACATGTTAGTTTCAGTAGTGTTGACTGATGTGTGATTTCCCCTAGGTTCAGGGGATTTTATTGTGTTTCTTGACACTTGAGCGTGAGGAAGACACAGATGGGACGGACACGATTATTTTTTTAAAATGATAAACTATTTTCCAGACTAATCAAAACGGCAACCAAGTGCAAGTGCATTTCGTTGTTTCCGATAGTTGCTTTTTTTTTTTTTTTTTTACCGTAGGCCTGTATGATTTAAAAGTGAGAGTTTTTTAAAATAAAATCAAACAACGGTAAGGAAAACTAGCGTCACTGGGTTAAAGGTCATCCGGTGCAGTGATTGAGGGTGTCATCCGGTGCAGTGATTGAGGGTGTCGTCCAGTGCGGTGAATGAGGGTGTCATGTGGTCCGGTGATTGAGGGTGTGAATTCGGTGCAGTGATTGAGGATGTCATCCGTTGCGGTGAATGAGGGTGTGGTGCCGTGATTGAGGGTATCATCCGGTGCGGTGATTGAGGGTGTCAATTGGTCCGGTGATTGAGAGTGTCATCCGGTGTGGTGATTGAGGGTGTGGTGTGGTGATTGAGGGTGTGGGGCAGTGATTGAGGGTGTCATTCGGTGCGGTGAATGAGGGTGACATTCGGTGATTCAGGGTGTCATCCGGTGCAGTGATTGAAGGTGTCATCAGGTGCGGTGATTGAGGGTGTCATCCTGTGATTGAGGGTGTCATCCGGTGCGGTGCTTGAGGGTGTCATGTGGTCCGGTGATTGAGGGTGTCATCCGGTGATTGAGGGTGTCATCCGGTGATTGAGGGTGTCATCCGGTGCGGTGATTGAGAGTGTCATCCGGTGTGGTGATTGAGGGTGTGGTGCGGTGATTGAGGGTGTCATCCTGTGATTGAGGGTGTCATCCGGTGATGGAGGGTGTCATGTAGTCCGGTTGTTGTGGGTGTCATCCGGTGGTTGAGGGTGGTTGAGGGTGTCATCCGGTGCGGTGAATGAGGGTGTCATTCGGTGATTGAGGGTGTCATTCGGTGCAGTGATTGAGGGTGTCATCCGGTGCGGTGAATGAGGGTGTCATTCGGTGATTGAGGGTGTCATTCGGTGCAGTGATTGAGGGTGTCATCCGGTGCGGTGAATGAGGGTGTCATTCGGTGATTGAGGGTGTCTTAAATGATAGTGTTACCCCCCCTCCCCCTCCATTGTTTGCGTTGCTAGTGATAAGGCAACAGATTAAAAGTTTTAACTTAAATAATTTAATAGTAAATATCTTTTAAAATACTGCTTACAGTTCGATCAAGTGCAAAAGTAATTTAATAGAACATATCTTTTAAAATACAGTTAGATCAAGCAGTGGCGTAGCCAGGATCGTCTCAAGGGGGGGTTCCAATTTTTACCCGGGGACAAACTTTCGATTTGCACCCCCCCCCCCCCTCAAACTTTCGATTTGCACCCCCCTCCCCTCAAACTTTCGATTTGCACCCCCCCCTCCCCTCAAACTTTCGATTTGCAGCCCCCCCCCTAAAACTTTCGATTTGCACCCCCCCTCCTCAAACTTTCGATTTGCACCCCCCCCCTCATACTTTTTATATATACCGAGGGGTCTATGGGGAGGTTATGACCCCCCCTAACCCCCTCCCCTGCCTACGCCACTGTGACCAAGTGCAAAAGTAAGTTAATAGAACATTTCTTTTAAAATACTGCAAACAGTTTAATCAAGTGCAAAAGTAATTTAATAGAACATTTCTTTTAAAAAACTTCTAATTTTTCGATCAAGTGCAACCCACAAAACTAAGGTCATTTTTAATCAAACTAGGTCACTTTAAATGTTTGTTTGGCAGTCAATGTTTTAAAATAAAAAAATTTTTACAGTCTTCCTTTTTATGCCACTATTTCTAAACAATGTAGGATATAACATTGATTTTCCAAATCGCAATATATGAGGATTTTTTAAAAAAATGTATATTTGTTTAGCTAAATCATAATTTTCACTTGACTTTAACAGCTGTGGCGGATTAAAGAAAGGGCTAACACGGCAGATACCCGAGGCTCCGCGAAGTAAAGTTTCTTCCAATTTTCTCTTACATAACATTAGTACAAGATATACTAAACCAACAAACATATTGTATGTGTTATTTAAAAAAAAATATCTAACAAGTAACATACACATGTGTGTAGTGTTTTTTTTAGTGAAATCTTCGAAAACATTTCTAGGGCACAAATATATTGTGTTTACATCAGCTGTCATATTATACTTATCTAAAATCGTCTTCTTAAAATACTACTAATTTCGTTGCCATTCGTCAATGGACTTGGCTGAATAAAAGAAAACATAGCACCGAAATGAATATGCTTGTGAACGACAAAGCAAAAATACAACAACGAGCAGTATATCCTGTGTTACGTTTAATGGTCATGTGTCCTGAGACTGGACATCGAGCGAAGAAAAAGAACTATGACTGACTCTAGTCTACCAAATATTAGAGTAAAACGCGATAGTTAACTTTACTAATCAACTTCTTAGCTTTGACTTACAAAATGAATGTTTAATGATCATATCTTAGTTGCATTTTTTTTTTCAATGAATAAAATCTCTTTCTTATTTTTTGCATTAACTGCCTGACTACTAATAACATTGAAGAAATAATTTCTTTCCAGGAATGTTAAGATCGCATTTCTTTATTGATCAACCCATGTTGTTATTACGACAGACGCTTTTGATCAGCCAACTCAATTTTTCTGGGTCAATGTTCTACTAGGTTTTTTAATGATTGTGTCAAGTCTGCCTAATGACCTTATATAACTATATTGCTTAATGATCTCTTGAATGACCATTGCATTAATATTTTGGGTAAGAGTCATGCTTGTTGATAGTACCTTAGCGTTAAGTGGAACTGAATATTTCAAATATTTCTGTTTAAAAGTATTGCCTATAATATTTTATACTGGAATCTAATCATTTTGTGGTTGTCTAAAATGAAATGTGTAGGCACAGAGTGTGTGTGTGAGAGTGGCCTCCCCTTGAAAGTGGTGGGCTAGGGAGAGGAAGTGTGTAAACGTGTGAGTGTGGAGAAATGGTTGTGTGATGTCAACGCAGTAGAATGACTCGTCAGTTTTCTTTTCAATTTTTACTTTCTCGTATATACGAAGTATAGAGAAAGTCTTGCAATCGTGCAAAAAAAAAAATCGAGACTTTTACAAATCTCGACGTTTTACATATCACTGATACGGAAAAACATAATTTTGCAATCTTGTCCGTATGTCTGTGTGTCTGTCTGTCTGTGTGTCTGTGTGTGTGTAAACACGATAACTTGTTAACTAGTTACAGCTAGGTTGATGAAATTTCATACATAAGTATTTTATCAAAATCGTAGATCCGTATCAACTTTTGAGCGATTTCCGATAACCGGAAGTGGTACTTTTTCTACTTTGAATTTTTCAAAGTTCCAATCCCCTGTTGTTTTATACAAGAATATTCGAGAAAGTTCAGTGCAGATCACTCCCGGTTTATTTTTACTTGTTGTTGGTGAATATTACAAGTAAATAATAATCCCTGTGGATTGTGTTTTATTTACTATTGTTACGCCTGGCCCATACGACCCCAAAATACCTACTTAGCCAAGCGTTACAATATATAATTATATCAATAAATTTATATATATATATATATATATATATATATATATATATATATATATATATATATATATATATATATATATATATATTAATTTTGTGATGATTTTGCGAGCATTCAGTTGCGCGGTTTTGTGAACTTTCTATAGCTTGCTGTGCAACAGCTCTCAGTTAGGCAGTCCATTGGTCAGTTCTGACCTCTCCTTACAGCCCCTAGACACGCCGCTGATAATGAGGACCAGCAGACTTATGGCAGGAGTTGTCCTTAAATGACGTCAATGATTTGTTTGCGAATTTAACCCCCATCTTACGTTATCATTACCATAGTCAAGAAAATTTCTAGTGGTTTATTACAAAGAAAGGCTACCCATGAAATATTAATTAGGCCTATGGTTTCTCAATATAATGCTATTCTTACTTTCATTATAAATTATAAACAAAAAATCTTTAAAATGCAAAATAAATAGAAAATTCATTTTAAAATTTAGTGTGTAAAATTTTAAAGTGTTACGTTACACTTTGTAACCACTCCCCTCCCATCTGATCATCACACGATTAACTCTGGCACCAGGCGATCCTGGATGGTCAAAAGATACGTCCAAATGGACGGCAAACACATTTTTATACGTTAATTTATTTCATTTTTGTTCTTATCTAAAACTAGTTTGATATGCTGTAAAAAGTACCAAAACGTTTGCTTAGTTTATATAAAAATATTTTACGTTAATGGCACTAACTTGAAAAGATTATATTTGAAATGAGATCACTGTTTACTAATTAACCCTCTTGTACCCAAACCACTTTGCCGTTTCTCGCACAACTACATAAAACTACAACACCTCTCAGGTATAAAAAACAGATGCACGAAGAAAATATAATTCGTACAACAGCTTGTGCCAATGATCTGTCATTATGCTGTTTCAGAAACTATCATCCTTAGTTTCTCCATCGAATACAATGGTGAAAATTTGCTTAAATTGTTTCTCTTTCTGTTTGAGCAATAAAACACAAGTCAAGTAATCACATTATAAAACAATGTTTTATTTTTTTAACAGTACATAAGAATTTAGAAAAAAATGTTTTTGAGCCAGCTTAGTTGGTGAGGGTGGCGAAATAACTGAAAGTAAAAGATCACAAAAAATATTTAAATATTTATATTTATTTTTTATTAAAATATGTTAATATAAATATATAGGCCTATATACAAATTCTTAATAAGGCAACATGTTCGTATTTGAATGTTATTAACAGATTAAACATATTCTAAATTCAATTAACATGTTAAAATTCAGATGTTTTGATACTTGTTATGAACGAACTGTATTTATCAAATTGAGCAAAATGTTCATTTATGAACAAATCTACACATAAACAATATCAAATTAAACATTTTCAAAGTTGGATGTTGAAAACATTTTGATACATTTTCTGTAACGGATGTTATTAATACTATCATATTTAGATGTGTGTATAATTAACGGATCAACCAACAATTTGACATTAGAACCCAATAACGGTACTCAACATTTAACATTAGACCCCACTAAAGGTACTCACAGTGTAACATTAGAACCCACTAAAGGTACTCACGTTCTGTATTCCTGCTCGGTGACCTGGTTGTTGCTGTTGGCATCAGCGCTGGCGAAGAGGGCGGCGTAGTCAACGTTGTTGAGGATGTTGTTATTGTCGCTGTCTAGACCGTTGAAGATGCCGTGGAGGACTCTGTTGACGGCTGGGTCATGGTACAGTTGGTCAACATGGTGGCCGTATTCAGCTCTGGTCACATGGCCATCGTTGTTTTGGTCGTAGTTCTATCATTACCATAAATTCATTAATTAGGAAAGCCAAATGTGTTTTAAACTAAACGGCATAATTTCACAAACTTGAAATAATTTCATGTCATAAAAATTGTACCAAATGGTTAAAAAAATAAAAAATAGTTATGATGGGCGTTAATAATTATTAAACTCAAGAACATTATTTTGTATATCGCAGCCTTTTTGGTAAAAGCATCGGAGACACAAGACAGAAGCTCTCTTAGACGTGTGGATAAAGGAAAGTTTAGAGTGAAGAACGGAGAAATGAGGGGGAGGGGGCGGTGGCTGATTATCAGTTGTTGTTACATAATATCAACAAGACCATGCCAGCACTGGAAGAGTGGAACATACAGTAAAAACAGAAACCCTGAAGTCGATACACTATGAACATCAGCTTAGATATGATATGAAAGAGGCCGAAATAAAAACATTCACAAATCTTGGTGGATGGAAAAGTGTAGAAATGGCATAGGCCGAAATAAAGAGATTCACAAATCTTGGTGGATGGAAAAATGTAGAAATGACATAGGCCGAAATAAAGATATTCGCAAATCTTGGTTGATTGAAAAGTGTTTTCTAGTTCTTTGCTCACTAGGGAGCTAAAGCCTTGAACTAGAAAACCATCATAGTTACACTACGACGTACATCAAAGTAGTTGTCGACTTCAGATCTGCTGATGTGGCCGTCATGGTTGGCGTCCAACCTCCTGAATGAGGCGTCGGCGATGTTGTTCAGATCCTGGCCAAAGATCATTGGCAGGCAGACGAGAAGGGCGAGGATGATTGACATTTTGCTGGGTCTGGGGATCATAAAAACAACAGTATCATCATATAATAAAATACATTATGTTGTTGTTTGTAATAGTTCCACGTTTGTAGTTTAAAATGCTGAATAGAGTTTGCACGAAACAAATAATACACGGCTAAATATTATAATATTGAACTATTAACAATTTACTGGTAATTGATCCTATATTTAAATAAGTCAAACAAACTTGCTTACGAGTGGTTACAGTTAGCACTGGTGCTGTTGTAGTGAAGTATCCCAGGTAAAGTCGGGTTTATATGGCAGAAATGGACCGAGTTGACATGGGCATTTAACATATGGCCATCGCATGATTAGGCTTTTAAAAAGTAATTTAAAAGATAACAGAATTTTAAAAATATAACACGTGTTTGGATATAAAAACCACTATAACTTTAACAAAAAGAACATGTTCTTATTAAAATACATCGAATATTCTTGATTGGTTAAAATATTATAAACATAATATACCATTAGTTGTCTTTAACAATCGATCACCGTATTTCTCTTCTGTTGAAGTGATTTTAAGATTTTTGGTATAAGTAATACAAATGCGTGTGAACATTGTGATTAAGTCATGACGTTAGGTGTGCCAGAAAACACTGATACAAGACAATTCTGTTATAAATTAAAACCATATGTGTACGGTGAGTGCACTAGCTGACATCTATCTGTAAGACCTGACATTAGTGTGATAACATTATAGCACATTTATTGCAAATACAAAACAAAATCGATTTTTCGTACTTTCAAAGAAGAGACCATGTTCAGCCTTATCTGGAAAATTGTCCAACTGATAGCGGCGTCACGACATAAGAACACATGTGTTGTTCCTATCTCTTTCCGAAAGGACGCAAGACGCGGCGTCACAGATAGGCTCCTCTTTCATCTTCTGCGTTCTTAATTCAATTTATGTCAGACGATTTAAATCATAAGTAAAACTTCGTGGATGAACTGGACTGTGGTCTCCAGATCTGCAGGCGCTCTACATAGTTTTCCCTTGAGTGGGGTGTGTAGGGGCCAGTGTTTGGATCGCACCTGGTTATATAAGGAACAGTCCTGAAGGACGTGTTTTGTATTCTCCAGGGCCATGCCACAAGGGAAATTTTCGCTAGGGCCAACTTTTAGTTTTTTAAACGTCATGTTCTTTCAGTCTGTTTTGGCCTGTTCTGAGTGTGACCTACTTAGGTCGAGTCAGGTTCCATTTTTATTTTGACATTGTATAATACCTTATAGGGAGTGATGGTGCAACTCCTGGGGTTTTTCCACTGTCTTACCAAGGGTGTCTAAGACGTAGAAATTTTCCATTAAGATCTGATTGAATGATTCTGATCAGATGACCCTCCCAACCAATGGCTACATGAGTTGAGGATGACCTCCCCTGTTGCAGAAGTCTTTAACTGCACCGCACACTCGCCACACGTGGCAGTTTACCTTGGTCAGGCAGTCTACCTTGATCAAACGGTCTATGAAGACCAGGCCGTCCATTTTGTCCGGCAATAGATTCTGACCATTTGAACGTGAGAGAACTTAAGTCCTGTGTGTGCTATGCTTTCTTAAGTTGATTTAGTCTTCTAGTATAATATTACTTGTCGCCAAGTGATTCTTGAAGCTATAGCAGTGTTGTGTGGCCTGTGGCTAATTTTTACAGTGTTGAAATCTGTGATAGTGTTTTTTCTTACGCTTTGTAAGTTGGGTTTTGATATTTTATAAATTAAATATTTTATCTAGTTTAACCTTGTGTTCTACCACAACTGTGTTCGCTTATTAAAGGTTATATGCAGATTGGATGAGTGTTAACTTCAATAGTATCACTAGTTTTCCCTAGACATCGAGATCGAGCCCTAGTGTGTTGTTGTGTTAGTATTCATCCATTTAGGCTTTTAGTCATTTGCATATGACCCCGAAAAAAGAATCCGGGGACGTTCACCATCTATCTGGCTGATAGATAGGTAAACGTAACAAAGTGGGGTCTCGCCGAGATTTAATCTGTCGTTCCAGTTGTTGGTTATATCAGTTAAACACTAAGTTTAGTTGATTTAGTTGTTTTTCTATCCAGTGAAGCCGTGTTATTGAAACGCGCGCAGGCTAGAGGTATCTAGGTCAATTGTCAGACGTGTCACGTCCTAGATTGAAGAGGTCAAGTACACGGCCTAACGCACCGTGTTAAGTTAGTGAATCTAGGCTTGTTTTGGTTTTGAAAGTTAGTGTTATGGAGTCTTTTTTGGCTAATCCCACTTTTGAAGAGGTAGAGAAGTTGAGTAGAAAAGTTTTGATTAGTGTTGTTAAGGAATTGAAATTGGATTATTCTGTTACGCAGAAGTCAGAGGTGTTGAGAGATAAAATTGTTGTTCATTTTATTAATGAAGGAGTATTTGATGAAAGTTTGTTGGCTGGTGTGTTACTCCGCGAGGAGAAATCTCTAGAAGAGAGAGAGCTTTTATTAAAAGAAAAGGAGTTAGAGGCTAAAATTGCTTTAGATAAGAGGAGGTTGGAATTAGAGTTTGGTCAAGTTAGTGATGTCACTTCTCTGGTAGATCCAAAAAAGTTGTCGGTAGGGCAAGTGATTGCCAAATTTGGGAAATTAGTTCCTAAATTTGATGAAACAGATTTAGTCGTTTTCTTTAACTCATTTGAGAGTTTAGCGAAGACATGTGAATGGCCCGAAACTTCCATTACTGCTTTATTGAGCTCGGTCCTTACTGGGAAAGCTGCAAAAACATACCAGGCACTCTCTCACGACGTTCAAAATAACTATAGTTTGGTCAAGACTGCCATTTTGAAGGCCTACGAACTGACGCCCGAGGCCTATCGGACAAAATTCCGAACACTCCGCAAGTTACCCACTCAATCATATGTGGAATTTCTCTTTGAAAAGGAGAAAATATTCTCAAGGTGGCTACACTCTGAGGAAGTTTCTGAGTTTGAGAAACTCAGGTCACTTATCCTAAGGGAAGAATTCCTAACGTCCCTGCCTGAAGAGATACGACTACACATACTGGATAACGAGATAATTGACATCCAGAAGGCTGCTGAGTCGGCTGACACATATATGTTGGTGCATAAGAAACCACCAGTGTCAGGAAACCGCCTCAACCCCGTGCTTCCCCTTTTTGGCAGCAATCTTCCTGTTGGCCAACACGTGAAGGTATTACAGTCCAGAGAGAAACCAAGATCAACTCTCAATCGTCGAGCAGTATGCCAGTTCTGCAAAAGACCTGGTCATCTTGTCAAGGACTGTTACAAACGTCGTCAATATAACAGAGAGGTGGTGCGTACTTCTGCGCACTATGCTCTATCCCCTCAAGCAGCCAGTTCAACTATGAACTCTAGAATTCAAAAGGACTTCAACCCTAAGTGTCCGCAAGAAGGTAGTCAAGTCTCCACACATTATGTGCAGTCACATTATGACTGTTCTCGCCACCATCCAGTTTCTTCTGAGTCTACCGATCTCGAGGGATCGAGAAAAGTTGACTTTTCATCTTTTATTGCCGAAGCCATCATTAGCAAACCAGGTGATCCGTTGTCTCAGCGGAATATCACCGTCCTAAGAGACACAGGAGCGTCACAATCACTTCTTTTGAAAAGTTCAATGGACATTACACCTGAGACGAACACCGGAAGGATTTCCATTATCCAGGGAGTGGGGACAAAATCTACTGTCGTCCCTCTACACAAGTTTGCCCTGAAACATCATCTCGTCGAAGGTGAAGTCATTTTAGGTGTGATAGATAGTATTCCTGTCCCAGGAGTACACCTACTTCTAGGGAATGACCTTGCGGGAAGCAAAGTATACCCCTGTACTGTTTCAGACCCTTTGTCAACAGTTCCAGATAATGATAATGAACTGTATCCTGCATGTGCGGTGACAAGAAGCCAGACCAAACAATTGGCTGAGACTACGTCTGAACCACACCTACCATCATCGTCAAGAAATTCGACTCCCAAACTGGAGTCTATGCTTCCAGAAAACACAAGCCTGGGCTTACCCCTGAGGATATCTCAGGAAGACATCATTAAAGCTCAACAAGTCGACGCGGAACTCAAAGCAACGGTCGAAAAATCTCTCTCATCTGACGATGGAGAATATTTCTCCGAGAACGGCCTCTTCTTTCGTCGCTCTATACCAGTGAATGCCTCACCAGCCGAACCATGGTTGGGTAAAAACCAGCTGTGGGTCCCTCCACCTTATCGGCATGAAATACTGAAACTGGCACATGACCATCCAATGTCAGCGCACCCAGGAGTAACTAAAACGACGGCGAAGATCAAAGAACTGTTCTTTTGGCCCAAAATGAGAAATGATGTGTCGCGTTACTGTAAAAGTTGCACGAACTGTCAGTTGGCCGGAAAGCCAAACCAGAAAATTCCTAAGGCCCCTTTGAGTCCGATTCCTGTATTAGAAGAACCCTTTTCTAAAATCGTCATGGACTGTGTAGGTCCCTTGCCTAAAACCAAGGCGGGCAACGAGTACCTACTTACCTTTATGTGTTCAAGTACCCGTTTTCCCGAGGCGATTCCCTTACGGAACATTAAGGCAAAGACTGTAGTCAGAGCCATGACCCGGTTCTTCACTACCTTTGGATTACCTAGAATCGTGCAAACAGATCAAGGCAGCAACTTCACCAGTCACCATTTTCAGGAAGCACTAGCCAAGCTAGGCGTTACCCACATCACCAGCTCAGCCTACCACCCTCAGTCTCAAGGCGTACTTGAGAGGTTCCACCAAACCCTCAAAACCATGCTAAGAACATTCGCTAACAGTAACACCCAATGGGATGAGACTGTTCCTTGGATTATTTTCGCCGCGAGGGACTGTGTCCAGGACTCTTTAGGCTACTCTCCTTTTCAACTGGTGTTTGGACATTCTGTCCGTGGTCCCCTGAGGCTGATCCACGAACGTTGGACAGGTACCAGTGATCATCCAGTGAAAAACTTTGACGATTTTCACGTTCGACTGAAAGCCGTGTGCGAAATGGCTCACAAGAATTTAAGAAAGGCCCAAGTGAGAATGAAAGGACTGTATGATAAGAGTTCTCGTAAACGAACATTCAATCCAGGCGACAAAGTTCTTGTGCTAGTGCCTAATCTGAACAATGCGTTATCCTTGAGATATTGTGGACCCTTTACTGTGCATTCAAAATTAAGTGATTTGAACTATGTTGTCAATACGCCTGACAGAAGAAAGAAACAGACAGTGTATCATGTTAACTCACTGAAAAAGTATTATGATAATTGTAACAATTTTCATTCCACAGCTAAAATTACTTTACCTGTATGTTCAAATGTTTCTGATGATGTGATACATGATAAATTGAAACCCCCAAAATTGGTAAATTCTTCCTTTTTAGATAATTTGAATGTCCACCTTATGCATTTGTCCACAGAGAAAAGCCATAAATTGTCTGAAGTTAATTCTACTGTAAACCTTTACAGAAATCACCTTTTATGCAAGTTCTGTAAAGCTTCAATTACCTATTTGGGTTTTCAAGTGGGAACGAACCAAGTTCGGCCCATTGAAGCTAAAGTAGATGCTATTGTAAGGTTACCTCCTCCCAAAAATTGTAAAGAAATCAAAAAGTTCCTTGGGATGGCTGGTTACTATAGGCGGTTCTGTCAAAACTTTTCAGCTATTGCTGAACCTCTTACTGCATTATTGAAAAAGGGTGTTAAGTTTGAATGGTCAAATAAATGTCAAGAAGCTTTTTTAACCATTAAGTCTTTTTTATCCAATGCTCCTGTTATGGCTGCACCAGATTTCAGCAAGCCCTTTAAACTTGCCATTGATGCTAGCAACTTAGCCATTGGTTCGGTCCTATTTCAAGAAGACAACATGGGAATTGACCATCCCATTGCCTTTTTTTCCAGGAAGTTAAATGAGAACCAAAAGAATTACTCTACTATTGAAAAAGAAGCTTTAGCTTTGGTTTTGTCATTACAACATTTTGAAGTTTATGTCTCTTCTTCAACCAATCCAGTCAGAGTGTTTTCTGACCATGATCCCCTGAAATTTACCTCTAAGTTAGGACAGACTAATCAAAGAATATTGAGATGGTGTTTATATTTCCAAAATTTTAATCTGGAAATTTCACACATTAAGGGTAGTGATAATGTTGTGGCTGATTGTTTGTCAAGGATGTAAAATCTTATTGCACACATTGATCATGTGACATGTTTTGTGGTTCATTAAGACCATACACTAGTGTTGTGTTTTCACATGAAAATGAGTGGTATGAGTTTTAATTTTTTCAAAATTCCAATCCTGTTGAATATTTTGTTTATTTTCAGGTGAACCTTAATTAAAGGTGGTTTTTGATTATATGTAATCTTTTATAATAATATGTCTCATATGACTCAGTTGATATTGTAGCTAGTCATTGAAATAAAGGTCTTACCCTGGCGGGTTTACCACTTTTAATATCCACATGGAAATGTTGTAATACCCTTTTTTGAGGGATTTTGATGTATAATTACCTTTTGAAGGGTTACTCCCCTTTCACCAATTGTAAAAGTTTGAGTTACTTCCCTTTTATGTTCAGGGATATTTTCATCTGGTATTATGATTTTGATCGACTACATTTGTAAAACATTTTTTTTATTTCATTGCCAGATTGGTTCCTTATGTATGCTTTTGTGGAACCTATCTGTCACTTCCAAAAAGGGAGGGGATGTGACCTACTTAGGTCGAGTCAGGTTCCATTTTTATTTTGACATTGTATAATACCTTATAGGGAGTGATGGTGCAACTCCTGGGGTTTTTCCACTGTCTTACCAAGGGTGTCTAAGACGTAGAAATTTTCCATTAAGATCTGATTGAATGATTCTGATCAGATGACCCTCCCAACCAATGGCTAAATGAGTTGAGGATGACCTCCCCTGTTGCAGAAGTCTTTAACTGCACCGCACACTCGCCACACGTGGCAGTTTACCTTGGTCAGGCAGTCTACCTTGATCAAACGGTCTATGAAGACCAGGCCGTCCATTTTGTCCGGCAATAGATTCTGACCATTTGAACGTGAGAGAACTTAAGTCCTGTGTGTGCTATGCTTTCTTAAGTTGATTTAGTCTTCTAGTATAATATTACTTGTCGCCAAGTGATTCTTGAAGCTATAGCAGTGTTGTGTGGCCTGTGGCTAATTTTTACAGTGTTGAAATCTGTGATAGTGTTTTTTCTTACGCTTTGTAAGTTGGGTTTTGATATTTTATAAATTGAATATTTTATCTAGTTTAACCTTGTGTTCTACCACAACTGTGTTCGCTTATTAAAGGTTGTATGCAGATTGGATGAGTGTTAACTTCAATAGTATCACTAGTTTTCCCGAGACATCGAGATCGAGCCCTAGTGTGTTGTTGTGTTAGTATTCATCCATTTAGGCTTTTAGTCATTTGCATATGACCCCGAAAAAAGAATCCGGGGACGTTCACCATCTATCTGGCTGATAGATAGGTAAACGTAACATGAGTCTGAAAACTATGTGTTTTTCTTGACATGTTAATTTGTAAAAATCCGTCGTCTTTTGTGTAATTAGGGTGCGTGTCAGACAACATTAAAGATTGTTTGCTTTTTATGATTTTTTAAAATTTCTTTTGTTTGTAGATAATCGTTTGAACTTTCCCCCAACATTTGCATGCTAAACCGCGATCCCATTTCCTTGTATCTGAGAGTGGCCCGGGATCCACTGCAGCACAATCCTGCTACAGGTATTGTTTAGCCTTTCAAGTGCTGTCCTGAGTGACTGAGTATAGGATTCTTGATTTTTTAGAATCTGCAGGAGACATTTTTGGGGGTGGGCTAATTTGGAAAAACAATTTAATATTTTTTAAAGGCAGAAGTCAGACTTTCTAAATTCCCTCCCCCGCCCCCTCGCGTCGCAAGTCCCAAAGTCATTTGAAAATTCTCATTAATTTAACAACATTTTACAGCACTAAGCACAGCCGTTGCTATGTGACCTAAATTCCAATCAGAAATCTTATTGCAAGTAGCTGGTCAAAAGAAATACCCAAACGGACTGCAGTTCAGAAAACAAACTCTGTATATGCTTTGTTCTTTTCATTGTTCTTCTTTACTCTAACTAGCTTGTGGATATGCTGTAAAAAGTATCATACAAAAGGAGGCTGATTATCAACTAGAAAACCCTACCATACTCAATGATGGATACATCACTGATTCTTTTCAAAGCCACATGAACCTCTACCACACAAACGCACACATTTATACGAAACAATACAAGTAAAAAAATATTATTACACTATAAAACAATGTTTATTTTTAAAACAATGTATAATAATTTAGAAAAATTGTTTGATATTTGGACCTGGTTAGTTGGCGAGGGTCTGGAAATAACTGAAAATGAAAATTGATTAAATGTTAAAATGTAGGAAGAACTTTCAGAGGCGTAGCCGAAGGGGGGGGGGGGGGGGGGGCGGGGGGTACATTTGCATTATAAATATAAAGAATATATGGGGGGCGCCAGCAGAGTTTTATTTTAGATTTTATAATAAAATTTAGCAGTATAGTACAATTTTAGTGCTACATTCAATATATTCAAATGTGTGGTTTTTTGCAAGAAGAGATAAAAATCGCTTATGTTGATGTGATTAACAAATTAAACATTTTCCCATTTGGATATTATAACAAGTTTAATAACATTTACTAAATAGAATGATATCACGCAGTGTGTTTATATTTTACGAAGTTAATTTACTCACGTTCTGTATTCCTGCTCGGTGACCTGATGGTTGCCGTTCGAGTCGGCGTTGTTGAAGAGAGCGGTGTAGTCGTCGTTGTCAAGGACACCGTCGCTGTCGCTGTCTAGACCGTTGAAGATGCCGTGGAGGACTCTGTTGACGGTGGGGTCGTGGTACAGTTGGTCAACATGGTGGGTGTATTCACCTCTGGTTACGTGACCGTCGTTGTTTTGGTCGTAGCCCTGTTATTACAAACAATTAATTAGCTGTTAGTAAATCGATATGTGTTATACATTTTAAAGACATGTTTCTCCTAACTTTAAATCATTTCACATGTTCAAAAAATTTGCGAAATGATTTAAATGCTAAAAAACATAGAACACGACAGATGCTAACTTTTGCGCTAAGACAAATTATTCAGTACATAGCATGTTTATTTTCAAACGCATCAGCTACCCCTAACACATGCGTGTGGGTTCTGTTGATAGCGTTTCGAGAAACATGTTTCTGGTCGTGGGGGTGGGGGGGGGTTGTTCTTAAGCCATCGTCACAAAATAACATTAAGATGGGTGGAGGCTACAGTAAAATGAAAAATCATAAAAACGACAAAATTAGACGCTCATGCTTCACAGGGGGCGGGTGGGGGGGGGGGGGTGGGGGTGCCCCTGCGAAAAGATGCTTGAAAGAAACATCGTATAGGGCAGTGGTTCCCAACCTTTTTCGAGTGGCGACCCCCTTTTATAAAAAGTAAGTGACCCGCGACCCCCATAGAATTAAAAAGCCGAAATTAGTATGGAAATTAATAAGCACGAAAATAAGATTTTCTAGTAGACTTTCAATATGAACTACTCTTGATAACTGTTTTAATAGCATGAGTAAAATTGCATATTATTCACTAAATCTTCGTGGTTAACTTTTTAATCATAATTTTTTTTTTGTTAACGCAAACCTATGTCATTATAATTATCTTAATTTTGTTTTTAATCGACGAATAATGTTGAAAATATATTCTCGAAAAGTCAATCAATTTTACGTTTGGGGATGAATGGTTAATACTACACCAAAATGGCGCCTGCAGTTTTTCATCTTACTCGGAATCATTCTACAAATCAAATAATTCATCTTGTAATTCATCGTGAATGTTGACAACATCGAGGGAAGAAGAGAATGGGCAATGCGTCAATGCAGATTCTTCTTCTTTCAGCTCAGAAAATAGCGCCGCAGTTCGTTTTCAATAGATTCAAGATGCCTAGAAATTTCTTCTTTCAAAATTTTAATTATCTCACAATTAGATTCATCAACCACACTGCATAGTTTCTCAAATTTACAATATTTCCTAGATTTATTTTCTTCGCCGATTTTGCAGCTTTGATAAAAATGCCCCGAGATTATCATGGAAAGTGATAATATTCGTTCATTTTCCCTGAAGCTTCAGGTTATGCTTATGTTGATGTTCGAACACATCTGCTAGGTATGATACTCTCTCCAACCACTCTGTCGTTTTAAGTATACCAAAAGGTCTTGTTTCCTTTGCATTTCCAAGATCAATTTGATTTCAAATTTCAATTAAAAAACACGATTCACAACAATTTGTTTGACAACCAGCGCACTGTAGTGTAGAAGAGCAGAACCTCGTGATCTTTATTCAGGTCTTTGCTCAGTTCTTTGAAGGCTCCAGATTTTATATAATTTACGACTTATACTAGCAATGGAGTCGTGATGGCGATTGTTGAGGGCAGTGGTTAGGGAGCTAAATCTTTTCTGCTTTCTGAAAGCCCGATTTTGACCTAAACATAGATGGTGCACCATCCGTACAAACCCTCATAGCCGTTTTAACCCATTTTAATCATCCAATTAAAAAAAACGTATTTATTTTCTCCATGCTATCTTCACAAAAGAGCAACTCTTCTTTGCTATCATCTGAATGAATATAGACAAAGACCAGCAACTGCGAACACGAACTCATGTCTGTTGATTTATCAACTTGAAAAGCAAACAATGGTGAAAGCTTGATTTTATTGAAAATTTGTTATTTAACATCTACGGACATGTCTGCTATAAGCCGCTGAATATTATTATTAGGCAGAGATATTTGTTGCATCTCTACTGCACTGGAATCTCCAAGAATTAACTTCATCTTCAACATGCAGGGTTTGATGAGATTTTCTCCTGTTGTGTTTTTTTTTTTGCTTGGCATTTTCTGTCGCCACTTCATATGATGCTTGCACTAATGCTGTGTTTCCTTGGTGAAAACTTCCTGTTCGATCAAGTCTCTGACGTTTGCAACTAGCTTCATACCGACGAAAGAACTCCATATCTTTTTTAGTGTGTTTCGAATGACTCGTCTCAAATGACGTTTTAGTTTTGAAGATTTCATAAACTCGTGACTGAGAACAACTTTGTACAGTACGCTTTGCTTCTTCTCTATTCCCTTTCCAGTTATGTTAGTAAAGCCGAATTTCAAAAATTCTTCTAGATATTTATGTTTTGTTCAAATTACTAAGGTTTAGTATACCAGTTGGCGACCCCCCAGAAAGCCCTTCGCGACCCCCAGGGTGTTGAAAAATAAAGACAATATTCAGAAAACTGGATTATTGTAGTCCTGTTCGATGCTCACAAGGAAAAGATAATATTTACACAAAGACCAACATCAGAAATAGAACTAGCCACACAATGACCTACATCAAAGTAGGTGTTGACTTCTGATCTAACGATGTGACCGTCGTGGTTGGCGTCCATTCTCCTGAATGAGGCGTCGGCCACCTGGTTGATGTCCTGGCCAAAGACCATGGGCAGGCAGACGAGAAGGGCGAGGATGATTGACATTTTGCCTTTCTGAGGATAAAGAAAACCGTCACTACTGAAAATAAAGAATGTTATCCTAATAGCTTGTACTGGTATAACATTTGTAATAAGAAATAATGAGTTGAGTTTGCAAGAAATAAAATATAACACATACATTTTATCGATTTATTTTTCTAAATTACTTTTTAAATTTACAAATTTTTAGTGATACTTTGTCTCCAACCAAAATAAAACCAATTAAAACTAACTAAACACATTTTAATGATAATTAATCCGCTATTTTAAATCAATATTAAACCTGCTTACAATAGTTACGGTAAGTACTGATGTTTGCGTAGTGAAATGTCCCCCAGGTAACCCAGGTTTATACTGCCCATCTGGTCCGTTTGACGTGGGAAACTAACATATGGCCAGCGCATGATTAATGTTTTACTTGAAAACAATTTTCTTTTTCAAAAAAATTATTTTGAATGTTAATTGAAATAATAATTATACTAGATATTTTAAAAAAAGTAATTGTCCTGATTAAAATACATCGTACTTTCTTGAATGTCAACGTATTTTGCAATTGTTGTTTCAAAAATATGTAATGACAATATGTCGAGTTTGTAGTTAATTTTAGTAATTATACTATGAAAAAAAAAACGTTTTTAAGTTTTTCACAATGATACAATCATGCAGGTGGCTTTAGTGTATTCGACGTGCAATTTTAGGTGAACATAAAACATGCGTGTAAATAAAGATTTAGCGTAGTCATGATATCAAAAAGTTAGCCAAGATAGTAGTACTGCTGGAAGCTTAATGAAGCTTAATGTATGCATGTAGGTTAAACCACCTAGTCCCGTTGAATGAGGCTCTATGGGGTTGTACCAGACAACGTTACTAGAGCTTTACCAAACACTTCGTGCTCAATGCAAGATGACTGTGTTGTATTATACGGCAAGTCTCGGGCAGATGAGGCTCGTTAGCTGGGGCCAGCCACTCTTCTAGGAGATACAACTCCAAAATAAACAACTGCTGCCTTGTAGTTTGTTCTTGGTTGGACAAAGGCTATAGAAGCAAATCCAAAAAAGAAAAGCAGGCTGAAATCGGAGTCAATGGCCTCAATGGCGCATAACCAGTTGAAGGGTAACGCTTAATTGTGTTGGAGGCGTGGTCGAGTCGGCAAAAAAAAAAGCTCATGGTTGATAAATTCGAACAAAGTCTCGAGTTCAAACCCACTTGCAGATAAATCTCGATCCCCTTCAATACTAATAATTAAGAACGAAGAAGAAGAAGATACGGCAAGTGTTCGAGTGTACCTGCTGACGCTACGGAGCTGTACAGCTGTTATATTCTTTACATCGCTGTTTTGTTTAACGTTATTATAATTATGTTGTAATTCACTTTAAAAAACAACAAAAAAATCAAACTGTACGATGTTTGAACGAAGTGGTTTTGTAAAAACTTATTTGGAAAATTGTGTAGCTGATAGCTAGCGTCACGACTAAAGAACACGTGTTTACTCTTATCTCTTTCCGAAAGGACGCGTGACGCAGCGTCGCACAGGTTAGTTGTTTATGTCATTGCTGCAAACATTCTCCACGTGGCAGTAACTAGAGCCAACGTCGATGGATGTTGATGGGGTTTTGAGAATTTAACAAAACAGAGAACGGGATAATGTTCGCGATTAAAGAATTGTAACCTGGGGGAAACTAATATTTAACATTGAAAAGTAAAACCTCTTCATATGCCGAGGTCACAGAAACAAGGGAACTCTACTTCACATGCCCCATAGATCGTCAGGATTGAAAGAGAACTTTAAAAAAAGATAATTAAGATACATCTTTCAGAGTTTGGATCATACATAGTTCAAGTCTGACCATAATTGAAGCGAGTGATTACTAACTAGTCGTTTGTCAAGCCAGTGACACACACTGTTACGTTATGTCTCTGTAGTTATTGTTACGTCCCATGTATTATATTTATTGTAGTGATGTCCCTTTTATTATATTCATAGTGGTGATGTCTCTTGTATTATATCTATCGTGCTGATGTCCCTTGTATTATATTTATCGTGCTGATGTCCCATGTATTCTATTTATTGTGGTTATGTCCCTTGTATTATATTTATCGTGGTGATGCCCCTTGTATTATATTTATCGTGCTGATGTCCCATGTATTATATTTATAATTGTGATATCCCTTGTATTATAATTATTGTGGTGATCTCTCTTGAATGTCGAGTCTACCGCCCCCCCCCCCCCCGAACGAAATGAAATGTATATAGTAAATATAAACTTTTAACAGTGTCCGCCCCCCCCCCCCCCGAAGAAAGTCTACCGCCCCCCTCGGAAATTTCAAGTGCCCCCCACCCCCCCCTCCATCCTTGAGAAAAAAGTCTGGAAGAAACACTGTAGGTATTCGACCGCGGCTTAAGAATTCCTGCCTCTAGGCCGCGGACACCTTATTTGGTACCTATCCATCCACCTGATATAACGAAGGACACTCTGCCCGCGGGTTCAAGATTCCAACACTTTATTTCTTCATGAATAATCACAGTTCAGATAATTAGGTGAATCTCAACAGACCTCCTCTGTCAAAGGACCACACATTATATCACTCTGTGCTTCAATCTACTAACACTTGTCTCTGCGTTCAATCCAATCTCTATCTCTCATCCTCTGTGCCTCCGATCTTTTCATCTTCGTTCCTCAGTTCACATCTTTTCTCTCTCAGCGTCCCTCTTTCTCTACACACATCTTCTACCTCTCCCCACCCAAAAGTAGCGCTGCTTATATACACACCCAGTCATACCCAGATGTACATCCGGTGTTGTCAAGAATATCAGACTATTCTATTTCGGTACCACCTATTGCATAGTTTATATTATTAGCTTGTCCATTTGGCTTTAAATTTAAAAGTCAAATTCTATTTGAGTCCCAACAGCTGCGTGTTTAAAACAGTTGCATAATAACTATAAATAGCTCAGTTCAATTATGGCCTTGACTTTGTCCTTGTTGACAACCAAATACGTTATTTTTGTAAGTACACTAGTTGCATATATTTTACTTTATATTTTACAGAAGATTACACCAAGGTGACTTGTTAAACATGTACTTTAATAATTTGCTGACAACAATCGAAACCCCACCTGAAGATTCTCCCACGTTCAAACTTGAAAAAAAAAAAACAAGAATTTGCTTACTGCAACTTCTAGACTTTGTGATTGTGATTAGAACAACGTGTACATGGGGCTAACTGCTCATAAGATCAAATAATGATGACACAATATTTGATTCTAACTATAAGGAATAAACAGGATACTTTTTCCAGTTAACATCAATATTTTATTCTACCTACATGACAGTTTCGATCCCACGTCTTTTCTCAGGCTTACGTCACTGACAACTCACGTGACATAAACAACACGAATATCCACACACTGAGACTCGACATTCAAGAGAGATCACCAAAATAATTATAATACAAGGGACATCAGCACGATAAATATAATATAAGAGACATCAGCACGATAAATATAATACATTGGACATCAGCACTATGTATGATCCAAACTCTAAAAGATGTATCTTAATTTTTTTTTAAAGTTCCCTTTCAATCCTGACGATCTATGGGGCAAGTGAAGTGGACTTCCCTTGTTTCTGTGACCTCGGCATATGAAGAGATTTTACTTTTCGATGTTAAATATTAGTTTCTCCAGGTTAGAAATCTTTAATCGCAAACATCATCCCGATCTCTGTTTTGTTAAATTCTCGAAACCCCAAATCATCACTTTCATTGGGTGCGCAATGGTTTTAGTTATGAAACTCTATTGTAATTTTTTTTTAAATTTAAAGTACTGAAACAAAAATGCATGAAATGATAAAGTGCAATATGGTAGGTAAAACACGGATTTTTTAAATACTGCTTATTATTTATTGTATACACTGAACGTACTGTTTACTAATTATTATTGTATCTTTCGGTTTGCGGACAAACTGGGGTTATTATAGTCGTTCACCGAATCAGGCGCGTCCGCCGGTGCTCGGGCAGGTTGCGATTTGGCGCTACGGGCTAGACTGAGCACTATGCGTTTATTTTTGCATTTAAGTTGTGTTTATGTTATGAGTGTTGTGTTTATATTTTCATTTGTGTTTTTATTTGCGTTTGTTTTTCTTTTGTGTTGATGTGTTGCGTTTGTGTTTTCGTTTGTATTTGCATTGTGTTTATGTTTTCTTAGTTTTCTTTTGGATTTGTGTTTTCTTTTGGGTTTGTTTTTTCTTTTGGGTTTGTGTTTTGTAGTTTTGTGTTGTTCTGTTCCCAAGTTTGTATATTTAAAAATGTACCTTGGCGGAGCACGGGTATGCAGCTAGTATATATATATATATATATATATATATATATATATATATATATATATATATATATATATTTATATTTATTTATTTATTTATTTATTTATTTATTTATTTAATTATTTATTAATTATATAAAGGCTTTGGAAGTAAATCCAAAAAGAAAAGCAGGCTGATGTAGCAGTTAACTGGTCGTTGGCGCATAACATTCACTAAACATAATTCTGTTGAAGGTAGCCTCTCCAATAGTACTACTAGGAATGGAAAATAAGAGGTCTTGGTGTCATTCTGTATTCCGCTTCTCCAAATGCGTCATTGTGTTATGGCTTTATATACTTCGCTTATGTCAAATGTATACAAGATAAATCTCTTTTTATAGGTAAAATCTTTTTAAAAATTCGATTTGGTGTCCCCTACTAAATATTAACACTCACCTTTGGAAGCTAGGATTTAAGATGTAAATCATTGTTTTGCTTTGTGTGATATTTATTAAAGATTAATCGATAATCTAACATTTACAATTCGTGTAATATTCTAATTTTAAAAAAAAATTATTTTCCGTATCTTATTTGTGCTGGTTGATTGGTTTTATATTCCAATAAGTTTGTTGGATATTTAAGTGATACTTATCTATTTAGACAGATTTTTGCAAAACTTGCTTATTCTTAACTGTCTGACAGTTGCATCACATGTGACGTAAACGATACCGACTTAGACTGGAATTCTGTTTTAAAACCACAGACAAACCTACATCACACGTGCAAGATTATTTACTTTGTCGATCACAAAATTGTTATAAGCTGTTCAAAAATATTTTCATTAACATGTTTCACTGATGAGATTATTTTCATAACCATATAATGTCCTTCACTTAGTTTGTTGTTAAGGATATTTTTTACAAGAATATATAGTAATTGGTATATTTTTTGCGATTATATTTTAGAAATAAATATATTTGATTAATTTCTTTCTAAAAAATATTACGCATTTTTCTCACACCATGTTTGAATCACACATAATATCGAAACAAAATTTCATATTTTACCACTTTTTGTTATGATAAAATAAACAACCGCAAATAATTTAGCGTTTCTTTTATTTTTATTTTTGATACATCGTAAAATAATATGATACCAAAATATTTTGTTGAGGCCTTTCTAGTTGACGAGGGTGTGGAAGTAGCTGTCAAAACAAAAATCAAATGTGAAAATATTAGATCAATTGATAACAATGTATGAGTATATATTCAGTTTAACCCTAGTGGATATGCCGCATATATTTTCCTTCTTTGGACGTATCGTCCCTAAATAGTTGAGGGTTTAATGGCATGAGGAATAAAATGTATAATAATTCAAACTCGGCAATAAATAGGGTAAATGAAGTAGTTTAGCTATTTCTATAAGCTTGGTATATGAAGAGATGGTGTGGTCATTTCTAAGCCCAGCCAATAAGGCCCAGCGGTCTACACATCAGAATTGTTTTGACTCGTCGACGTTCTAAAGACTTAAATCCGGGTTGCGAACTCAAGATACTCAGGTTAACAATTGTGTACCCCACCTACCGACAACTCAGTCCCTTACAACATATTTATGATGGTGGCTATTTAGTAAATTAACTTAGACAAGGGAAATGACAGTGTATAATGCTGTTAGACAAAAAAAAAGAACTTATTTTACTTGACATATTCTTGGTGTGTGACTTGGTTGTTGTTGTTGGAGTCGGCGCTGCTGAAGAGAGCGGTGTAGTCGTCGTTGTCAAGGACACCGTCGCTGTCGCTGTCTAGACCGTTGAAGATGCCGTGGAGGACTCTGTTGACGGTGGGGTCATGGTACAGTTGGTCAACATGGTGGGTGTATTCACCTCTGGTCACATGACCGTCGTTGTTTTGGTCGTAGCCCTGAAATTGAGAATATACCAATGTCAATTGTTTACATGAACATTGTTTTTACCTAATTAAAAAGTTTTTGTCGACCATAACGGTCCATATGGAAAGTTTAACATGTTTGTAATATGCGCATTTGAAAGGATAGTGAGGTAAGCAATATGCACAGCCGTCTTTACTTTACTAACTTATAGATGAGTGGACTAAAGGACGTTCTACAACCCCGAATCCGAACTGTCGACTTACGTGATATTAACCGTATGCTCTACCACCCCACCAATTTTTTACCCGATAAGTACAAGTTTTTACAGCTTTAACAAAATGTGACTTGATATTTCGATCAATACAGCGAATATTACGTACATCAAAGTAGGTGTTGACTTCTGATCTAACGATGTGACCGTCATGGTTGCCGTCCATACTTCTGAAGGAGGCGTCGGCCACCTGGTTGATGTCCTGGCCAAAGACCATGGGCAGGCAGACGAGAAGGGCTAGGATGATTGACATGGTGCTGGGTCTGGAACATTTTTGAAACACCACATTTTGGACAATTATGCTGCTTTCTGTATAATTTTAATACATTTTCTATAAGCTTTCACAAGAAGTTATCAGCTTAACATTTTCGTTTGATATTAAAAATCAAAACATCATTTTTAATTCCTCGTACCAATATTGTCTCAAAAAAGAAAAGATTGGGTCACTATATTACGTACTAGCCGTCGGTACACGTTACACGTGAATTATAGGCCTATATATTAATTTTAATGTTAAACTTGTATGAGAAAAGTATTTTATAAAATAGTTATTGGTCAAAACGCAATGCTCTTTACTACACATCCAACGATATTAGCGACAAAGCAAAGGAATAACTAAATAGCTAGAAATCCGATTCATTTAAAATAACATAGACTACTAATACCTATTAGAAAAACCAAATTATGTACATTATTAGTCAACACATCACCATACTAAATTCACACACTGATTAAGAGACTTAGATTTACGTACTTATGTTGTTTTTTTAAAGTAATGTGTGCTACTTTAGGCCGAGAAAATTGTACATATTTCATTGCGTATGTCGTGAGATGTAGATTTATAGATCTAATTTAAATTTAAATGAAACAATTCATTTCTTTATATTCTTAAATTGGAAGATTACGTCATTAGTTTTGTGTTCTTTCCGAAGTTTAAAAATGTGGCACGTAACTTCATTGTTTATTGCGTTCTTTTCACAACAATAATCGCTTTTCCGGTTGCATATTTCAAATTGTGTTTCTATATTCAAAAATAACTTAATTTTTATTTTCCGTCGTTAAATAAAATTTAGTTTATACATTTATAACATCCACCATATTATTTTCAGCAAAACTCCAAGAGTGTGTGTGAGAGAGAGAGAGAGAGAGAGAAGTGCGCACGCGGGCTTATATTGAATACATTCACTATAATTCAAGAAGCTACCACGGCGTTTTTAAAAAGTTATTTAAATAGTAGTTCATGTTTTAATTGTTTTTTAATCGGTTATTTTTCATATTTAGATCTAGTGCATTATTACATGAAAGCATGTTATTATAACGTTTTTTAGTACTTAATTTTTTTTTTTAATACAATAACGTTGCAGGACTGAAAACTATTGAGCACTAAATGAAAATGAAAAATGTGCGTATAATAGCGCGGTAAATAGTTCTTTATATAAGAAGTTTTAATTGGTTCTTTAAAAACTAATTAAGCATAAAATTAAGTCCAATTTGATGGCAGATCGCAATATGATTTCAGAGTAATTGGTCGGTAACAAATTTGTTGAAATTTCACTCGCCAGTTCCGATCCACAACTACAAAAGACGAAACAAAGCAAGTGCTAGGAAGCAAGTTAAATAAAAGCTTGTAAAAATTAAAATATTCACATGGGTTGACTATAACAGCACTACTCACTGTGGTAACTGTAAGCTGGACTGCTATACTGTGAAGCCCCTCCTAATACAGATGGAGTTTTGAAGGAGAAACAGCGTGGACACCCAGCAGATGTCAATCACATGATATCTTGGTGTAAGAAATAAAAAAATATTTACATCATGTTTTACATCATGTTTTAGAGATATTAAAGTACATTTGCTTGATTAAATAACGTTTTGGATATACGAAAATAAACAGGCAGAGATGCCTGTCCCGAAATTGTGCCGAATAATAAAATAGGTAATTTGCGATGTTCGACTCCCAAAGTATCCGATATTTAACATTTGGAGGAATGGATGCTTTAAATACCGTCCTCTGTATTTTCATTTTTATTTAGATGAATTATATAAATTGTTTGACCAGAATCTATATTTACTGAATATTGAGCATTTTGAATGTCCGGTATATGCAGGGCCGGCGCTACCTATAAGGTGAACTAGTCGGTCACTTAGGGCGCTGTCCATAGGGGGGCGCAAAAATGTGAAATCGCCATGATCAAAAAGTACGTAATAATTGATAATTTTGATTATATTACATTAACTATATACAAAAGCGTAACGATCTATGTAGGTGCCCATGACGAACTATCAATTTTGCGCCCCATCTTGCGCGTTGGTGAAAATGCACCCCTACCTCCATCATTTGTAAAGATCGGGGCGCTTTTTAACTAGTGTTTCTTCCAGACTTTTTTTCCGGGGGCACTTGAAATTTTCGGGAGGCGGGGGGGGGGGGGGGGGGGGGGTGGACTAAAATTTACGGTGGGTGGAAACTGTTAAAAGTAGTATATATTTTTCTATATAAATTCCATTTCGTCCGGGGGGGGGGGGGCGGTAGAGATGCCTGGAAAAAACTTTGTCTTTAACAGGCACTTTGCCTTTTTATTTTGGTGTCACACAACTGATATAGAAAACAATTAAATAAGTCTGTCATGCCAAGTAAGAAGTCCACATTCTTTATTTCGACTGTATACAATTCAGTCATGAGCTCTTCATATTATTACCTATCACGTTTGCGCCCTTTTCGCGTCGGCGCAAAAAAATAATATATGAAAAATAATATCTTTAATATCTCTTAAACAGGATATGAACATTCACGTACGGAGTGTGCTGTGTAAAGGGAATGTTCACGTGTAAATATTCGAATGGAAATAAAAAAATTAAACTAATTTCTGATGAAAACAGTTCTCATTAGTGTGAAATAAAAATACACTCAATAAAATAGGGAACATAAAAAGTACCCAAAAAAAACGATTTAATAACAAGCTGTTATGACTATGCAATAAAAATTACAAAATAAATTATACACTACTATTTAATTAACTATAAAGAAGCGTGGGTGTCGTAAAGATTAGTAAAGATATCCAATAGATACTAAAGTGACACACTCTTGTCTATATAGTTATTTAAATAGTAGTGTATAATTTACTTTGTACTTTTTAGTGCATTATCACATAAAAGCTTGTTATTAAAATGTTTTTTATGAATATTTTTTTGAGTACTTTAAATTTTTAAAATTTACAATAGTTGCATGACTAAAAACCATTGCGCACTTAATGAACGTGATTGCGCGTGTATAATAGTACGGAGTAGTTGGGTAAGACTGCCTACTAATTTGGTCAATATTGTAATTAATTCATACACAATTAATTAGGCAAACAATTAAGTGATATTTATATGTCATGTTGCATTGTCTTCATGTCTTGACCCAAGTATCAACTACGAACCGCATCTGTCAGTTAGAAGTGCCCGTAAATTCGCTCGGGCGTTTCGATCTAGACGGACAGACAGAGACAGTGAGTTAAAAGCTTGTAAAATGTCAACAATTTAAAATTGAGTTTATTGAAATAAACTATTGGGAAAGTATAGCACTCTATTAAAAAGCAAAAAAAAAAACAACAGTTTCTTAATAGCATTAAAACACTGATTATCGCAATCATGTATAAGTGAGGGAGAGGGGGGGTAGTAGAGGCGAATCGAGAACAGCTTTATGTATATTTCAAGTCTAAGCTTTCGTTACCAAAGTAATGTTGCTTTTTTTTAATGCTTTGATATTTATGGATACCGAATAAAAGGGTAAACAAACAAAACGCGCTCGAGTGTGTATAATGTGTGCGTGCGTGTTTGTGTTTATACACACATGAACTAATGTTAGTGTCTCTCCTTAATTCATGTTGGCTTTGACTTATCCCAATGAAACTAGCATTGATCTATTACTAACTATATTATAAACCATCACAATAGTTAAATAATGACTAAAATATTGTAATTTTTACTAATGATCAAACGGTTGATGTATTTCATTGTTGACGTCCTGATTTATTGATGAGAAGTTAATGACAAAACAATAAACTATTTTTTTTTAAATCTAAGTTTTCTTTTATTGAATCAAAATAATATTGCTAACTAATTTTTAACACAGCCGACCACGAGACGCGAGCATGATAAGAGCGTGGAACGTTCTAGACGCTTCAGCACCAAGGTCACATCGTATCTTTTGTCTGGGTCAGATAGATGAAACCAGGACGAGGTGGTCACGTGGTAGAGTCTCATCACCAGCCTTAGAGTTCCAGAAATAGATTTTGGTGTTCTTATCGGGGTTTATATCTAAGTGGAGAAAACGGAAATACGGGACACATGTGTTCTGTGTATATAGGGGCCAGTGACTGGCGTCTATCTGTGTTCTATGATCAGTGTGTGGCGTCTATCTGTGTTCTATGATCAGTGTGTGGCGTCTATCTGTGTTCTATGATCAGTGTGTGGCGTCTATCTGTGTTCTATGATCAGTGACTGGCGTCTATCTGTGTTCTATGATCAACGTGTGACAGCCACCTTTGTGCTTAATACAGATGGTGCCAACCATCTCTCTACTTTATTTGGTGCCAACCATCTCTCTACTTTATTGGTGCCAACCATCTATGTACTCTATTCTTGACAACCATATTTGTACTCAATTCTTGACAACCATCTTTGTACTCAATTCTTGACAACCATCTGTGTGCTCAATTCTTGACAACCATCTGTGTAATTAATTCTTGACAACCATCTGTGTAATTAATTCTTGACAACCATCTGTGTACCAATTTGTTACCTCCATCTCTGTACTTAATTAGTGCCAACCATCTTTATACTTTATAGTAGGCTATTAGTGTCTTTCTATGAATGAAATGTTATATAAGTCAGGTCAAACATTCTAGAAGTAACTTGAATACGTGTTTTGTTTTTGTATATTGCATTAACAAAATATCACTTTGTCTAATCTTGACCCCGCTCAGTAAAAAGCTTAGGAAATTACCGGTTTTATAAAAAAAAAGTTGCTAAATTTAAAAATAAGGAGGGTGCTCGAGTGTGTTCAATGTGGTGGGAGTGGTGTAGTATTTAAGTATGCGTGCGTAGTTTCTTTCAGGCATCTCTTTGGGTAGGGTGAGGCAGAGCCCCCCACCCCGTTCAACGAACGTCTATCGCCCACCCTCTCCTTCCCCGAACAAAATACAATTTTTATAGAAAATACATACTTTAACTCCCCCCCCCCCCCGAAAAAAAGAGTATGAAAGACACTCTATCTGCATGCTTGAGGTTTAGCGGCCAGAAGTATAAAACGGGTCTAGTTTATACAAGTTGAGTCTACCTTCAGTCTGTATGATCTACAAATGCGTTTTTCCCACAAAAGGGGATGCACTTAAATAAAAAATTCGGGGGGGGGGGGGGGGTGGGGAAACTAAAATTTTCCGGGGGGAAGGGGGGTGGGTCGGATACATGTACAAATATATTCTATATAAATGATATTTCGTTCCATGGGGAGTTAGACGCACTCCCGCCCCTCCCCATCCCCCCCCCCCCCCCCTTCCCACCTCGGATCGGTAGAAATTGCCTGAAAGAGACTCAGAATGTGACTTTTTTCAAGTTTTAGCTTAAATGCAAGGCTTAAATGGTATGACTACGGCTATATTTTGTATGAATGTGCAGTAACTATACATGTAGATCAAGGTTCCCAGTTAAAGTAGTGTGTTAATGTCTATATTTAGAGTCTATACATAAAATAGAAAGGCATCATGGATTGAGGAATAAAAAATAATAGAATTAAGAATCGAATGCCAAAAACAATATTCTACAATAATGACGTCTTGTTAATAGGGCTGGTAGGTAGGTCACTAACCAGTTATACGGCTCAATAAAACCTGCATGAGCCATAGAACTGGTTGGTGACCTACTTACCAGCCCTATTGAGACAAAAAAATTAAACGCCTAAAGTAATTGTCTAATTTTAGAAGTGAATATAAATATACAAAAAATCGGAAAAGCAATATATGTAGTTAGCGTTAGTAGCAGGATTAAAGTTGGGGTTTTAATGTGTTTTGTTTCAAGTTAAATTTCTGGATCCAGTTAGAATGCTTTTTTTTTGGATAAAAATCTTATTGCAATTACACTTTTCGTTTCTGGTAAATTTTGAAGTTAAGGTGATGATTTTGGTCCGGTTTAGATCAAAAGACAACGCTATCAACCTAGCGCCGTTTGTATTTCTTCATCAATGGGACATTTATTTAGTTAATATAATATTGTTATAATTATTTATTATTATTTATTATTCGTGTTTAACTATTAATACAATGTTGATGCAGCGGGCTCGTTAATGTAAAAAGAACAATAAAAAATGCACATTAAAACGACTTTCATATTTGATATAATGTGCCAAACAACCAATGCAACAATTTAAGAAGAAATAAATATTCTAAAGCCAGTCGGACGAAAGGCTGAAGAAAATAAAATAACACAGTTAATTAATTATAACAAATCAATTAATATTTCCATTTCCTGTAACTCTGCTTAATAGCTGATTATTTTCGTTGTTTCCTTTGTTATTCCCCTTAGAAATATTAAACGCTAATTATTGAACACGAGCCCGCCCGCGGCATAAAAATGCGCCGCTATTTAGTTGTTTTTTTTCTACTTTTCAGTAATTCATAATTTGTGAATTCGACAGTACCAACGCTGCCACTGAAAATATTTCTTTAAAACACTATAAGTAGCTCGTTAAGGACCATAACCCCCCCCCTTCCTACGTTTAAAATCGTTTCAAACTAAATTA